TAAGTGAGCAATCACATGATTTTCTTAAAGGAGGACTAGATAAGAAATTATAAGCTCTTAAGTTAGGTTATTCTTGATGAGATTTATCTCAGATCAAGAATTTCCAGAATCTCTAGAAGCTTCATCCACTGTTCCCTTGATTGTTCAAGAGGGGATACATATATCTCTAAGTGAAGAAACAAGAGAACCATGATTGGAAATTCAACATGATAATATATAAGTGAAACTAGTAGAAATATTAGTATCACATGTAAAGGAACAATATCAAGGATAAGCGGATCCTCAAGAAATTGAAGATCCATCATTTGACCCACTCTTTGTTTTACCTATAAATACACAAGGTCTAGTGCAGTACATTCGTAGTGGGAGAGAACCTTGTTAACTCTCAAGTTGTCTCTTGTTGAGTGATATTGATCCTACTAGTTACGATAATGCACTAGAAGATGTTGTTGATCAAGTGTTGCTCAAGCTATGAACAATGAGATGAAATACTTGTATTTCAACTCCGTTCGGTCCTAGTAAAGATACCAAGAGGGGGAAAACCCACAAGGTGCATACGGACATAAAAGGCAAAGAGAGGATGGACAGAAAGGTGAAAACCTTCAAAGCTAGCTTGGAGGTATTTTTTGCTAGATGCCATGCTTGAGTCTATCCAGATTCTCTTAGTTGCTATAAGTCTCAATTATGAGATTTCATTTTGGGAGTTGGATGTCAGGATATCTACATACAACAACCAAAAGGGTTTATAACAAATGAGTAGGAACACACAGTATGCAAGTTGTGAAAGTCTATTTCATAGACTTAAGCAAGTATCCAGGTCTTGAAACATCAGTTTTGATCAGGTTATCAAAATTTTGATTTTGAGGGAACCTTGATGAATGATGTGTATTTGTATGTAAAGGATACAACAGAAGACAATAGCTTTTCTGGTACTTTATGTAGATGATATGCTCCTTATTAGAAATAATATGGAGGTAATATCAAGCATAAAGAGTTGGCTAAGTTAGTGTTTTGGTATGGAAGTACTGGGGAACCAATTATATTCTTGGTATAAAACTCTTATGAGACCGGAAGAATAAGTTGTTGGCATCACCTCAGGCTACTTACATTGACAAAACCCAAAATTCAACATGAGAATTCTAAGAGAAGAATTATAATTCTCAGATGTGGAATTCATCGTTCTAAGGAGTGACCAAAGACTTCTAAGAAGGAAGAATGCATGAGCAAGATATCTTATGCTTTGGCAAAGGTAGACTCATGCATATCATGTTGGGCGTTAAACCAGACATCTGTCATGTAGTGGGAGTAGTGAGATAGTACCATTTTGAACCTAGAGGAATACTAGATTATTGTTAAGCATGTACTCAAGTATCTTTGGAGAACGAGAGATTATATGCTGGTATATTCTAGTGGGAGTCTTGAAAAGCTGAGTTTTCAAAAATTCAGTTATTTCAAGTGGATATTAACTCAAGAAAATCAACCTCGAGCTATGAGTTTTTCACTAAACTCAGATAGCATTAGAGGTGGATCTTGCAGACCCAGTTACTAAGAGTTTGCCTGAATTTGTGTTCGAGAGGCATGTTACTTCTTTGGGTCTTAGGAGGATCCCAGACTTGCATTAAGCAAGTGGGAGTTATTGGTTTCATTGCGCTCTTGGAATAAGACGATGAAACAATAAAATAATTTTCTGAATTTCATAAATAAGGTTTTATTTATTTATTTTGCGCACTATTTACAAACATAAAGGTCCGGATCAAATTGTGGAGTATATGATCATATGGATACGTTCATGGAGGACATGATCATAGGTTCTCACAATTGATGAATGGAGTCACAGCCGTTAAATAAAGTTGGGCACTTTATTCAGTCTGCAATATTTTATGAAATGATTTTGTCCGAATCATTGTAAAATATTGGTGTGAATTAACATTCACATTGAAAGGATCAAGGAGAGATTTGATTAAGGTTGTTCTTTCTGTCATAAGGAATCAAATTTTCAGATAACTATAGTTATGTAGTTGCCCTTAATCCTGTGTTTATTTTAAATAAATAATTAAATAGTCTTCATTCTTTGATTTACCAACGGGTGAGGTCCGATCTTTTGACGGCCAATAACTCGGTGTTTTGGGAGTGAGATTATTTGATTATCAGTATTTATGAGATAAACAACAAGGAATTTATAGGAAATGTCCCCTTGATATATTTCGGTACTTGGATATTAAAGACACTGGCCAGTGCATGTAGTCCATTAGAGAAATTATCAAAGTCAAGGGAATAAATAATTGATTGGGTTACAAAAAACTAATCAATGAATTATAGACATTCTCTAAAGGGGCAATGCATATTAATGTTATAAAAGTCATTAATCTTGGAGTTCACGTTCGGGCTTTTAGTGGAGTAGCGCTGAATTAGATAAGATTATCAGGAGCCTTGGTCAATGACAAATGGTAGGTCCCCAGGCTAGCTCGAGACATGAGATGGGGTATATTATCAGAGGATGATAGCTTATGGGCTACATGGTCTTGGGTTTACGAACTCAAGTTTGTATCTTAAAGAGCAAGTGGGAGATTGTTGGATATATGCTCTTTTGGTCACTAAAGTCCTATTGGGCTTCAGTGAAACTTGAGCCCATGAGGCTTAGGGTTGAGTTATGTCTAAGACCTAAGCGTATATATTTATAGTTTTCTCCTCTTGTGCCTCCAAGGTGAACAGATCATCTGAACGGTTGCCCACACAACCATCTCATCCTCCTCGAGAGATAGTCTGGAAGATCTGCCACAATCCAGCTTCAAGGAGGTTGTTCGTGCTGCGGCGCTGAGGTGAACTGTTCGTGAAGAGGAATCCTACAAGGGAAGATTATACACGAGACCTGCGCACCGAGAGGTAATTGTGAAACAAGGATGATTCGATAAGCATACCAATGTACTAGGTCCTAAACCGCTTCCGCATAAATCTAAGATTTCCTTCAAGATATATACACATATTTTCCTCTCTTTTTTACATACAAAAATCACATGAATATTTAAATGAGTGATTGAAAAACAGTTTTAATTAATCATCATATATTTGCATTATAAAAACTTTCAGCTATCCGGCCAGTGTACTTTTATGAGGTTTCTGTGATAAGAAAGTTTACATATAACTTAACAGTGACGAAGTTCAATAATTTGTTGAATGTGACTATTTTGATGCAAGTAAGGTACTTCTATACAATTTTTGAAACAAATAGGATGCCTGAGTTCTCGAAGAGAACGTAAAATGTTAACACACTTTTTTTTTAATAAAACATATTATTTAAAATTATCAATAAGGACAGGTGTAATAGCAAGTAAACTATCCTTAGAAAAGGAAGACCAAGGTTCAGTACTTGTTGAAAACGTTTATTGTGGTGTAAGCACGACTACCGTGACCAAAAACTATAAATATAACCTAGAAAATTTATCAAGTTTATCTTATTATATATATACAAACACACTAACATAAAATTAGTATGATATGACTTAAATGGATTTCCGAATCTCAGAAGTTAATAAAAATTAGATGTTATACATGTTATTTAAATAAAAATTTTACAGTATCATTTTTGAATACAACAATGACACTAAGGTTTGAACCTATCATTTCATACAAACTATTCAAACTCATCATCACTAAATCAATTTTTTATACTAAAAGCTACTTTTAAATTAAAGCTAAAAAAAGAGAGTTTACAAATTAAAATTAAAATTTGTGTGGTTGATTATATGAAGTAGTAATGATGATTTTGAAGAAGGGAAGATAAAATAATTTATAATTGGAATGAATTATTATGACAAATAATAAAATTTATAAATTAAATTTAAAATAAAGATAAAATTGAAAAATAAATAAGGAGTAAAAAAAATTGACATACATATTAAAAAAACTATTTAACCTAATTTCTATTTATAAGGAGAAGAAAAACTAAAAAAAAATCTTTCAAATAGGCATTAAGTCCAAATTTGGAACTAATCCTACAACCGATTCAAAAAATTAAACTTTATAAGGATATCCGAGGACGATTCACCTTAACGAAGTAACTAGAGTTGTATACTAAAAAAATAAAATAAAATTTAAGGGGTGAATATTTTCGCATGTTATGTGATGGAAGCTTAACCCAAAATTTAAAGAAATAAAAATATCACTCTCAAAATAACTTCGAATTTCTCCCACCTAAGGAGCGTGATACGCTGACGAAATCCAAATCTTGAGCCAGCTTAAATTGAAGGAACGGAGCCGTTGAAAGCCGAGCCGTTTGCGAATGTACGTACGTACAATTATTAAATTAATAATTAATTGGAGTACAACTAACAAGATGAAACAGTGATCATTTTGTTAATGTTAGGCCAAAAAAATTACCAGACTGCCAGGTCGACAGGAAATTTTGTCAAAATGACACGTGACATATTTTGCTACACTATGTAGCAAAATATATGTGCAAATAATTCGCTACACAGTGTAGCGAAATATGCAACGTCAGAACCAAAAATATCACGTGTCAAAATTGTAGAAATTCGCTATCCTGCGAATTTCTTCAATTTTGAGACATTATATTTTTGGTTCTGAGCAGTCTGACCTGGCATATTTTGCTATACTGTGTAAAAAATTATTTGCACACATATTTCGCTACACAGTATAGCGAAATATGCCACGAAGCAATTTAGCAAAATTTACTGTTGACGTGACAATCCAATAATTATTTTGGTCAACAGTGACACTTTGATCACCGTTCCTAACAAGTTAGGCTCTCTAACCCGAAAAAATATCAGCGTCACTAAACGGTCGAAAAACCGGAAGCGCAACTGGCTACAACCGGTAAACAAAAAAGTTGCATTAGGATTGAATTTGATTTGGGTTCATTTCAAAGCCAACCGCAGTAGCGGTCCACCTAACCCCAGTTAGATTCTAACCCCGGTTGGGTTTATATAAAGAGAGTGTAATTCAGAACACTTAATGGGATTGTGAAACTGGTTCCCCGCTTCAATCTCATCCTTCCACTATCTCAATCTCAAACCCCTTTTACTCTTTCGCTTTCCCTCACCCTCTCTAGTTGGTCATCGTACATGAACACTCGTAGATTATGCTACTTATGTTCCATAATTTGACCGAGTAAAAATGATGTAGCTGAGGAAAAACGGTGTTAAGAGTGCTCCTTTTATGCTTTTTTATTTTTCTTTTTTTCTTTTAGAGTTTTTGATATAAATTTGTTTGTTTGTGTTGGTTTGTTCTGACGTGTATGAATTGTTTGATGGGGGAAGAGGGAGAAGAAGGGGTGAGAAAGAAGGAACATGGGGGTGTTAATGGAGATAAGTGGTACTTGTATAGCTGCTTACAGTACTGTGAAAATTGGTGTTGTTTAAGACATGAGTATTCATTTTCAATGGCTCCTTTTAAGTGAAAAACCTTGTTCATCGATCCTCTCAGCTTTTCTCTCGAGATCTTAAGACATTGACTAACAATTAAAAGGGTTCTTCATCTTATAAAAAAGATCCGATCTTTACTCATGAAGAGACTTGCCAGCTCAGATAATTCTTCGGGTGCTCTCGTGTCAATCCCTCCATCAACAACAGGTTAATTGAGACTTGTTTATTGATGTTTGCTTTGTTTTTAAAATTCAGACACAGATCCATATGTGTTTTGTGTTTTTTCTTGTCTAAAAAAAAAAACATTTTTCTTCTTTTGGGGGTTTGTGTTTCTACTAATTATTCTATCTGATTTGCAATGATATTTTAGACGAACACAGTCCAAGGAACAATCATTTGTATCGTAGGGATTTCCAATCGATGCTGGATGGAATTGATGAAGAAGGGTGTGTTGAAGAACCGGGGCATCACTCGGAGAAGAAACGTCGACTGAGTGTGGATCAAGTAAAGGCTTTAGAGACAAACTTCGAGGTAGAGAACAAGCTTGAACCTGATAGGAAGGTGAAGCTTGCCCAAGAACTTGGGTTGCAACCAAGACAAGTAGCCGTTTGGTTCCAAAACCGTCGAGCAAGATGGAAAACCAAGCAATTGGAAAGAGATTATGGCGTTCTCAAAGCCAATTATGAAGCTCTTAAGCTTAATCATGATACCCTCAAACAGGACAACGAAGCCTTACACAAAAAGGTAGACTTCTATATAGAAACAATTTACAATCCAAAATCCATTATTATTGAAAGTGGGGATGATCCATTTGAAATTGGCATGTGTTTGCAGATTAAGGAATTGAAATCAAGGTTGTTGCAAGAAGAAAACAACACTGCAAGCGGTGTTTCACTTTCGGTGAAGGAAGAGATAACTATGATGCCTGACTCTGAAGGAAGAGATAATAATAACCCATCTCCTGAAACATCAATTCCTTGTACAGAGTCCAAGGAACACTTGAATTATGATTATTGCTTCAACAACAACGATGTTGTCGGAGCCACCTCACTCTTCCCAACAGATTTCAAAGATGGTTTTTCTGATAGTGACTCAAGCGCAATCTTGAACGATGATAACAGCCCCAAAGCCACCGTTTCTTCATCTGGGGTTCTTCAAAGTCATCACCTTTTGTTGTCTCCTGAGTCTTCTTCTCCCTTGAATTGCTTCCAGTTTCAGAAATCGTACCATACACAAACACAGTATGTGAAGATGGAGGAGCACAATTTCTTCAGTGCAGATGAAGCCTGCAATTTCTTCTCGGATGAACAAGCACCGACCCTCCATTGGTACTGTCCAGATCAGTGGAATTAAAGAAAAAAGTAAAGGAAAAAAGATGAAACCGTCTTTACAAATTTTATTTGATTAGAGGAAATGCCAATAAAGGAAGTTGCACGGTTGTATTTGAAGAAAGCTCAAGTTCTTTTTGTAAAAATGGTTGCTTCGAAGTTCTCATTGAGCCTGCTTCAATGTAGAAAGTGTGCGCCTAAGAGTTGAGAGAGAAAAGAGAAGTGGTTTGCACTTTGCATGGCGTGGGGTAGGAGCTGAAAGGATGATGATAAAGGGTAATTATGACTCACCCGTGTGAGAAGGAGTCATATTATGAATAATAATGAAATGTAAAAACCTTTTTAATTCTGAGCATAGAAAATTTCTATTGGATAATAATGGCTCCATGCTTCGAACTTTCTATTTTACTACTCCAATTGGTCAATTTGGAATTTTGGATCATTTTATATTTTGGAAAAAACTAAATGACTATTTCATCCGTATTATAAAATTCGCCCCGAACTAACCTGGTGAGTCGGTCCGAGTCAAGCATCGGATTGGCCATGCATCGAATCCAGTTAAAATACGGCCAAAATCGATGATGATTGCTTCAATTTTGAATTTTGGATCATTTTATATTTTGGAAAAAAACTAAATGACTGTTTCATCCGGTGTTATAAAATTCGGCCCTACCCGGTCCGGTGAATCAAATCGGTTTGAGTCAAGCATCGAACCGGCTATGTACCGTATTCGGTTAAAATTCGGCCAAAATCGGTAATGCATTTTTATAAATAAAAAAAATTGTTTAAAAAATGTAGAAATCAATTTAAATTTTTTTGTAATTTTATTCGCTAGTAGTATATTCTTCTATAATGACCTCAAACTTCAGCTTTCAATACTAAAATAATTTGTGGAACAATAAATTAAGAGAATGTTACATATAACATTTCAATGTATAGATTAATTTGAAAATTTTGAGTTCAGAACATCTGATTTTTTGAATGTTATTGAGAGGTATATTTATGGGGATTCTGAGTTGCAATTTAAATTAACATAGTAATAGGCTAATAACGTGCATTTTCATTTATTTGTGCTTCATGAAATTGTAGTGTGATTGGATAATTTTTTTAGCTTATTTAGATATGTAGAATATAATTAAATTTATATGTTCATATTTATATATATTTATTTTTATATATATTCGTGTCAACCGGTCCGACGAGTGACCAAGTACCTAGACCGAGTCGATGCTGGGACGACTTTAATAACAATGGTTTCATCCGACTTAATAATAGATGTTTAAGATTTTTGCAAAGTAATTAAGAAAAAATTTCAATAATAATAATTTAAAATGAGGTAGGATCCTTTGACACTAGTGTCAAATTTGAAATTTGACACCTCATCTGAGAGCCATTAGATCAAAAAAAATCAACGACTCTGATTTGTAAGCATGTGACACTATTGATCTTTTTTGATCTAATGGCTCTCAGATGAGGTGTCAAATTTCAAATTTGACACTGGTGTCAAAGGATCCTACCTCATTTAAAAATATAATTATATTTGACTAAGTTATTTTTTATTTTGTTAATATTCTTTTTCATTTTTGACAATAATGAAATTAAAAATAATAATACCTTCTTGATATTTAATATAATTCTTTTTTCAAAAATGACTGATGTAAGTATAATTTTTACAACCGTGTTCATTAAAGAAGTTACATTCTAAAAGGAATTAATTGACAAAAAATTCAACAAATCAAATATAAATGAAGAAGGAAAAATTCTAGAGAAGGATATGAAAACCTTATAGGATTTTAGTTTTTTTTTTTTTACTTAAGCTTAAGTGATGGTTTGCAATAATTAGCCTATAAAAATTCGAAATCCATGATTTTAAATAAACTCACTGAAAAATATTGGAAAAATAATTTCAACATGATTTATTTATAAAAATCATTTTAGCCAGCATATATAGGAATGTGATTTACATTGCACGATTCTAAATAATTTTTTTTAAAAATATTTTGAAAATAATTATTTTTAAAAATATTTTGAAATTTTTTTTACATGTCTTATTTATAAAATAATTTTATCCAAACATATAGAAACCTATTTTATTTAATAGTTGTTCTGGACGTTGATGAGAGAATTATATGGATTAATATTTTTCATATTATAGAAGATAATATTATTTCCTACGAGGTTTATATCAATATTTTTTCTCTTTTTAATTTCCTCATATGACCCCACATATTTTTATGTATATAGAGAATATAATTTTATCAGCTAGACGAAAAATTCAACCCATGTATAAATCACTTTCCAAGTGAAACTATATTTGGGAATTTATGAAACACTGACTACATATTTGATTGGATTTCTTGCACCAATTACATTAATTGCTCACTCTTAGTGAAAAAAGTGTATAAATACATTATTAAACAATGGGAAATGTATTTGTCATGTTACATGACAAATGAATAGTCGTTATGTTAAAGAAAAAGACAAGACCAACCATTGAATAATGCGCTCTCTCATTTTCTTTAATATTATATAACTTATCTTTTTCTTAACATAACAACTATTCATTTGTCATGTAACATGCATTTCCCTTAAACAATTCCGCACAACATTCTCTTCAATTTGTAAAGGGTAATATAACCTGATTAGTTCAATAATAATTGGGTTGTATCACACATGATTGAGCCTTTTCCAACTGTTGTTTGGGTTTTTGCTAGAATGAGTGTTGCGAGATGATTGTTTTACAAGATGTTGTGCGGCTTTGCAAGATGCACTACGAGATAGAGGATTTGAGGTTGAATCTCTTGATCAACTCGTACGACTGAGGGGAGATACTCTACTTTAGTTATGAATTTAAGTTAAGATAGAATAAATGATCATACCTGGGCTTCAAGCATCGTTTATATAGTGGTTGAGTGTCCTACTTATATTGCCTTAGTACAACGACATTTAATCTCATTGGTGGACATAAATGGCTTTTGCAGGCTATCCCCTGTGCAAGATGTCTATAATTATGGGCTATGCCTTAGCTTTTGAGTTGCTGATCTTTTGTAGATGTAATGGACTGAGCTTCTGTTGTCATGCGTCAATGTACCTGTTCGATGTCACACACGTGGTATGGCCGCATTTCCTTAGCTTTTAAGTTTTAGTTGTTGGACCCAAATTAAAGGCCCTTCACGAACTGGGCCTTATATCATGCATAGGATCGAGCTAGATCATAACGTTAAAAATTTGAGAGATTTTCAAGCCCCTATAAAACTTGAAGATTGTAAGCTTTATAACACCTCATAAGATTACAATTTATAGTTGTTTGTCTTGAAGCTTGATCGAATACTGACTAAATTATGAGAGGACATTTTATGTTAGTTTTTATTAGAAAGAAATAATACAAAATCATTGAATGTCCTTCACTTACAAGCTAAAGCTGATATGTGAGATGGTTGCTTTCCATGGTCTGTGATCACATGATCATAAGTTCGATTCCCATTACGCCCAATTTTTAATGGAATTAAATCCTCTAAGGGAGAACAAAAAATGGGTCTGTGCAATATTCACGTTTCAAGCCCAAACGGATTTTACATGATGGAATGTGTTAGAGAGATATAATATAAAATCATCGAAGGTTCTTCACTTACAAGCTTAAGCTTTTGGGTTATGTTATAGAGAAATAATATAAAACCGTTGAAGGTCCTTCACTTACAAGCTTAAGCTCTTGGATTGAATTAATTTTTTATATTTTTTCTAAGAAAGCTTTTTTTATAGTTAACTTTTTTTAAATTTTTTTTTTTATATATAGATGGGTTAGAAGTTACTTTCGATATAAAATTACTAACAAGATTATGTGAAGCAAATCATGGAAATAAAATGTTTATCAAAAAAAAAATCATGGAAATAAAATTTGGGGTTGGGGTGATTATAATAATAAAAATAATAACAATCTTCACATAATCAAGATTTGATGGTCATAAAAACGATAGTAGTGATGGAGGTGATGACAGTGATTATAGTGGTGGCAAAGGTGGTTGTGGTGATGAGATTGGGGATAAGGCAAATTTAAATTTTGAAAAATATAATTTGACTTTTGTCTTTTGGCCTTAGATTTTTTTAGAACCCAGAAGTTTCAGCTTAAAATAATAGTATTTTTAATTTTACTTTTACTTTTTAAAAAAGGTTAATATCCAAACACTTATTTAGAATGAAAATTATTTTTTCAGAAAAAATAACATCTTGAAAAACAAAACCTCATTCAAACAAGCTAAAATAAAATACATTGCTTTATTTATGAAGGTTTTTTTTTTCTTCAAAAATCAAAGCTATTTTACATTTAGATTTATATCTATAAATACTTTTATGTAGAAAGCAATACTTTAAGGGCACTTTTAGTAGATGAGAAATTTTTTTTAACCAAGTTAATACAATTAATGGGGAAATGGTGGGAAAGTAAATTTGCTAGTAAATTTGAAAAAAGTTATTTGGTAGAGCGAAATATTACCGGAAAAATTAATTAAGTTTTCTAAGTCTATGGTTGGTTGAAGGTAAAATATTGATGGAAAATGGGTTAAAATTACAAAAGTAACCCCTTTAATTTTTGAATCTCAAATAAAAGAAAGAGACTAATGACAACAGTACATCTCGAGGTCATTTTCGTCTTTATTTCGCGCTCCTCTTCTCCATTTCCCGGCGAACCCCAAAATACCACATTGCAAGTAATTTTCTGGAATGGTAAATTTCTTCAAATTTGGCAAAGAAACCAAAATACTGGGCAAAGAATTTGCCTGATTATTTTTTTGGTTCTTGTACCAAACATGTATAACAAAATCTCTACCAAATGCCCCCTTCTAAAAGGTTATTCAAAAGCCTGGAATCTTTGCTTAAAAAATGGGTCGTTTTAGCTTTTTCAAGACTTAAGTTTTTCTTCAAAAGATGCATACAAATTCACACATAAAGTGGAAAATATTTTATTTTGAAAAGGTAGAGTTTTGATGGTGAAAAAACCCATCTAAATAAACTCAAAAAATAACATGTAAAAGTAAATCCCTCGTAATGGTTCAAAAGTAAATTTTTTATTAATTATCTTCCAAGTAGTGGTGGACTAGTGGTCAACAATGTCACTGGTGGTTGATGAGAGTGGTAGTAATAGTATAAAACCCTAAAAGTAATAATAATAATTAAATATATAAATCAATCAGAAAAACATTATATACAATGCTCCAAAATATATAATTCAATAAAAAATTATTATAAATAACACTCTAAAATATAAAATTCAATCACAAAATTATCATAAACATTATTCTAAAATATATAATTCAATCGTAAAATTTTATAAACAACACTACAAAATATATAAATCAATAAAAAATTATTATAAATAACATTTCAAAAATATATAAATCAATA